CATCGACATACACCAAAAGAGTGGTGACTTCCCTGTATTCGAGTACTTTATAAAAAGTGTATGATCTCCCTGATTTTGCTTATACCCAGTGGCTAACATTGCTTTGGTGAATCTTTCAAATCAAGCTCGCGGTGATTCTTTTAGGCCGTAAAGTGCCTTCCTTAACTGGCATACTTTGTTGCTTCTCAACTGTTGCTCATATCCTGGAGGAATGTCTGTGTATATCTCCTTTTCTAATTTATCGTGAAGGAAGGCATTTTTTACATCGAATTGCTCCAAATACCAGTTAAAATTAGTAGCTAGTGACAACAAAACTCTTACCATGTTCATCTTTGCTACTGGAGCAAATGTCTCTTGATAATCCACACCAGAAGTCTGTGTATATCCTTTTGCCACGAGTCTAGCCTTGTATCTTTCAAGGGAGCCACCTGACTTGTACTTTACAGTAAATACCCACTTGCAGCCTACAACCTTCTTTTTGGGTGGTAAGCTAACTATCTCCCACGTCTGGTTTTTTACTAGTGTTTGCGTTTCTTCACTCATGGCACTTCTCCAATTCTCATTAGATAATGCCTCAGATAAAGTATGAGGAATATGAATAGCATTTAAGCTAAGTAGAAAAGTTATATGTGCTGGTGAGAATTTTTTAAAAGCGATGAATTTTGCTAGAGGATATAAGGGCTGTTTTGTGCATACTCTAGTGCCTTTCCTAATGGCAATTGGGAGTTCACAGTCTTGTGTTAATGCAAGCTGGTCAGAAATTTCATTTACCTCATTTTCAGAAATGGGAGTTGAATCTTGGACTTGCATGAGATCAGAATCTGACTCTCTCCTCCTTGAATAAACTTGTACAAATCGATTTGTGTTATGAATGTCATTATGCTCTGTTACAGGTCTGGTCTGATCAAGTGTGGGATCAGTTGAGGCTAGTTTGGCTAGAATTTGATTGGTTGGATCTGATTCTGTGGACACAATTAGCTCATGGGTAGGTAGGTCAAGCAAAGACAACTCTTTATCCTTATCTTCACTAAATGAAACCTCCTCCTGAAGATAAGGTTGAGTGAAATATGATTTTGTTTCCTCAAAAGTGACATCAATAGAGAAAAAAATTCTTGGTAGGTGGATGGTAGCATTCGTATCCTTTTTGGGTGGATGAATAACGTACAAATATACATTTGAGTGCTCTTGGATCTAATTCCCTCTGTTATGACTATGAATATGGACAAAAGCAGTGCATCTGAAGATTCTTGGAGTAAGATTATTTGTTGTACGAAGGTTAGGATAGAATCCAGATAGTGTCTCCGTTATAGATTTAAATCCTAGTACTCGAGAAGGAAGACGGTTGATAATATATGCAGCCGTGAGTATGGCCTTCCCCAATAATGTTTTGGAACATTATGGTGGAAAAGAAAGGCTCGGGTTGTGGCTAGCAGGTGACCATTTTTTCTTTCTGCCACTCCATTTTGTTGTGGAGTATCAACACAGGAGGATTCATGGATATTTCCTTCTTTTTGAAAGTAAGGATAAGGAGATAGAACTTGATTAAGATAATCCCTTGCATTATCTGTTTGGAATCTTTTTATTTTTACCCCAAATTGGTTTTGAGTCATGTTGTGGAAGTTTGGGAGTACACTACTTACATCTGATTTGTGCTTGAGAAGGAAGATTCAGGAAACCCTAGTACAATCGTCAATAAAGGAGACAAACTAATGAGAATGAGACACATTTGGAACCGTGGAGGGTCCCTATATATCGGCGTGAATTAAATAAAATGGAACTGAACTTTTCTTATTGCTGATTGAAAAAGGTACATGTTTGTGTTTAGCAAATTCACATACTTCACAATGAGATTGTTTAGCACCTAGATTTCTAAACAAAGTAGGGAACATAGTTTTTAAAATTCCAAAAGATGTACCCTAGTCTAAGATGATGAAGCCAAATGGTGTCTTTATTGGATGATGAAAGAAATGACAGCGATAAATTATTCTTGATCATATGTGACTTGCTTGATTCTTCAAGATAGTAGAGCCCGTTCTTTCCTTAGCAAGTCCAATCTTCTTACTGAAACCTGGTCCTGAAAAACACAATAAGAAGGATTGAAAAACACATTACAATTCATATTATGTGTGAGCTTTTGATTGGATATTAAGTTGGTGGACAACATTGGAACATGAAGAACATTTTTTAGAATAAGGAAAGGATTCATATGAATGTCACCTATACAAACTACAGTAGTTAAAGAACCATCAGCTACTGCTATTTTTCGATTGCTTGGATAGGGGTTGTAGGTGTTAAAATTTAGTGAAGAATTAGTCATATGGTCTGTCGCTCCCCGAGTCAATGACCCATAAATTTCTGATAGTTTCATTTGAGACATTTAGTCCTTTGAGAAAATGAGAACTTACCTAATTATGCAAGAGAGCATGAACCACTAGGTTTTTCCAGTGATCCTAGAAGTCCCTTTAACTTCTCTATTTCCTCCACATTAAATGTAGCTTGGCTTTGAGCTGGTTGATTCATGGTGAGATAGGATTGGTTTCACTGTTGTCTAGGATTATGTTGTTGACACCCTTAGTTTCCCCACTCTTTGCTTGATGGTTTACCATGTAACTTCCAGCACTTGTCTTTGGTGTGTGTCAATTTTTTGCAGTAAGTACACCAACGATTGTCCCGAATATCTTGATTCGAAGATCGAGACAGTTCTGCCTTCCCATCCATCTTTATCACCATAGCAGAACCGTAAAAAATTTGAGGTTCAAGCATCACTACCCGTCGACTCTCATCTGCCCGAACTAGAGAGATGGTCTCATTGAGAGAGGGTATCTCTTCTTTGCCAATAATCTGGACCCTTATTCAAACTCAGCATTAAGTCCTGCAAGAAAATTATACACTCGATCTTTTTCGATAAAATTTTTCAAGGTTGCAGCATCTTCTGGACATTTGGTCTCAAAACAGCGATAATAGTCTAGCTCTTGCCATAAATTCTGAAGTGCATTTGCGTACTCAGTAACAGTTCTGCTACCTTTTTTCATTGAAGCAGTCTTGACCTTAATCTCTTACACCTGAGCAGCATCGTGAGCCTTTGAGTATGTTGAATAGCATTCCAAATTTCTTTAGCCGTGGATAGAAACATACAGGTGTCGCTGATTTCAGGAGTCATGGAGTTCCATAACCAAGACATGATCATGGAATTGTTAAATGTGGCATTAATTTGTAAACTCAGGAAATAAGGTTACATGATGCACTTGAAGAAAATGTATCAGGAAAATACATGATGCAAATTCATGAATTATTAGGTGTCCATTTATATTCCCATGTCTCTAGAGTTATCCATGTGGTCCTATAAATAGAGGTCATTCTTGTAGTCTCATTGCAAGGAAAAAAAAGAAGAAAACATTATTGAGTGTGCTGTAGCAACTCAAAAACTATCAATAAAAATTCAAGTTTTTCTTCAACACTTCGTTTCCGCACTAACAAATTTGGTATCAGAGCCATAACTTGTGATTGCATTTTTTCATGGCTTTCATACAAACAGCTTCGTTGTTTACATATTCTTACAGTCAAGTCCCAATCTTCGAAGGCGAGCATTATGAATACTGGAGCATCCAAATGCAAACTTTCTTCATCTCCTTAGATCTTTGGGATGTCATTGACGATGAGGAGTATGAAGAACCATCCGAAGACAATGAAGATTACGAAAAATTGCAAAAAGAATTTAAAAGAAAAGATGCAATGGCTCTCCGCTATATTCAACAAGGAGTCGGGAAATCAATTTTCCCTCGTATCTTTGGTGTTAAAAAAGGCAAAGATGCTTGGGAAATATTGATGCAAGAATTTCAAGGAACGGAGAAAACGATCGCCTTGAAACTTCAATCCTTATGGAGAGACTTTGATAATCTCCAAATGGAAGAACGAGAATCGGTTCGTGTTTTTTCTTCACGAGTAGCCGAGACAGTAAATCAAATCAAAAGCTGTGGTGACACAATTACAGATAAAAGAGTCGTGGAGAAAATGTTAAGATGCCTTCCTCCAAAGTTTGACCATGTTGCAGCCGCAATTGAAGAATCGAAAGACTTGTCCAAAATGACCATTTATGAGTTAACCGGGTCACTTCTTGCCCATGAGCAAAGGATCAATCGTTCGAGTAACCAATCTACTACCGAACAAGCCTTCCAATCAAATTAAACATCAAAAGGAGGATCGAACAACTATGGAGAACACAACAGAGGCTCAAATCAAACAAAACAAAAAGATAGCTATTGGAAGAAGGGTGACAAGCAAAGCAAATGGAAAGGCAAGCAAACACAAATTTCTGGTGGTAACAATCCAACTTGCATAATTTGCAAAAAAATGAATCATGAATCAAAGGAGTGCTACTTTAGATGCAAAAGGTGCAAGATCCCCAATCATTCTCAAAGGGATTGTTGGTTTCAAAATAAAGAGATGACAGAAAGAAAAAGTGCAGCAAACTTTTCTCAAGAGAATGAAAAGGAAATTCTGTTTTATTCTCAAAATTATGAAAATGGAGCTCAAAGCCCTTGGTATTTGGATAGCGGTTGTAGCAATCACATGACGGGGAATCGCGACATCTTTGTGGACCTTAATCCCAATATTACTTCACAAGTAATTCTTGGCGATGGAACATGTAGAGATGCGGTAGGAAAAGGCACCATTGCTGTCCAAATTAAAGAAGGTAACAAGAAACTCATCACAGATGTTCTTTATGTTCCCAATCTTTCTCATAATCTCCTAAGTGTTGGACAACTTATTCAAAGTGACTTCTCTGTCCACTTTGATGATGGTGCATGTAAAGTTTTTGACAAAAAGAAAAATATTTTTGTGGCAAATATTGAAATGAAGAACAAGACATTTCCTCTTATGATGCCACTAAATGAGAATTGTGCACTCAAGGCAAGAGACGAAGATTTGGCGTATTTGTGGCATTTACGATATGGTCATCTTCATGAAAGAGGCCTTCGTTTACTCCAAATAAAAAACACATGGTGACGGAACTATTCTTGAAGAAACTTGGCAGAGTTGAACTTCATCCAGAAGTAGAAAGGATTCGCAAGAATATGGTAAAAAGATGTGGTGGTTTGCCACTTGTACTTGTCACATTGGCTGGAAGCATGAGGGGATTGACTGGCATTTATGAATGGAGAGATGCATTGGAAGCACTGGAAGAATCATGTATGAGACAAGCGAACGTGGAAGATAAGGTTTTGTTAATACTCTCTTATAGTTATGATCGACTGGGAGATGAAAAGCTAAAAAATTGTTTACTGCGTTGCTCCCTGTATCCTGAAGACTATTGTATTCCAATGGTCAAACTGATTGAAAATTTCATTTCAGAAGAGCTGAGGGAGAGAAGATCTAGCTTTAGAGCTGAGATTGACCAAGGTCGTGCAATACTGAATAAATTGGAGAGACCCTGCTTACTGGAAAGGGGTTCAACTGGTACGTATGTGAAGATGCATGATTTGATCAGATGCATGGCAATAAAGAAAACTAAAGGTAACCCTAGATACATGGTAAAAGCTGGACATCACTTGAGGGAAATACCAGACATGCATGAGTGGACAGAAGAATTGGATAAGGTTTCCTTGATGGAAAACTCGATGGAGGAAATTTCATGTGACGCATCACCCACGTGTCCTAGACTTTCAACATTGATTTTGAGAGAAAATCCTCTGAAATCAATTCCAGATTGTTTCTTCAAGCAAATGTGTGGTTTATGCGCTCTTGATTTATGTGGCACTAAAATTCAGAAATTGCCAAATTCCATATCAGACTTGGAGAATCTTAGAACATTAGTGCTGAAAGATTGTTATGAACTGGAATTAGTTCCATCATTGGAAAAGCTCAAGGAATTGAGACATTTGGATCTCACAGCTACTAGTATTCAGGAACTACCCCAAGGGATGGACAGCTTAACCAAACTCAGATTCCTATATTTGAGTTGTTATAAATTAAAGATGTTACCGACGCAGACTTTGCGTAGACTTTCAAAACTTCAGCTGCTCTCGTTGCCATTTCATATATGTGCACCAATTGAAGAAGTTGAGGCACTGAAACAGCTGGAAGTATTTAAAGGCAGATTAAATAGCGTATGTGATATCAGTCGTTTACTAAAGTCTCGACAAAGTGACAAGCAACTCAGTTCCTACAGACTTTTTTTAAACTCTGAAGAAAGCTGTAAAGTTCATGTTGCAAGTAATAGACTACACTGTAAACTGGTACACTTTGAAGCTGAAAGTCTTGTGGAATCCTCTTCACCCAAAGACGAGAATTTGCTTCTACGAGATATTGAGAAACTAATCTTTATGAATAGTTTCTTGGGTAGTTCCTTATTAGATGAATTCCCAATTCTGAATAGTGCTAGAGATTTAAAATTTTGCATAATTGCAAAAGAGGATAAAATAGAGTGCATTATGAGGTCTTCGTCTGCCAAAGAAGAACTGTCTAGTGGGGCCCCATTTGAAAGCCTTCAATCGTTGTCCCCGGAAAACTTGCCAAATTTTTTTGGTCTCTTCAAGTGGGAAGCAGTTGCACCTCTTCCACATGGCACATTTTCCTGGCTCGATGAGTTGATGATTCAAAGGGGTGATAAAATCAAGAGGCTTTTCCCTCATAGTCCGGCACAGAATTTCCATAAGCTCCAACACTTGACTGTCTATAACTGTGTACAGATGGAGGAGATAATAGAAGATGACAAGAATGAAGGGAGAAACAGTAGTAGCAGTGCTGATCTCACATTGCCAAGTTTAAAGAGTTTGTGTCTTGGGAATATGCCACAAATGAAGAGCATCTGCATGGGGATGATTTGTTGTGATTCTATTCAAGCCATTTACTTGGGAGGCATTAAAAAGATAAATAAAGTGCCTTTATACCTGCCACTTATTGATGGACAACCTTCCCCTCCCCCATCTCTTAGAGAAATCAGGATAAAGAGGGTAGATAAAGAATGGTGGGAATCATTGGAGTGGTACCATCACAAAGCCAACAGCGTCCTTGAACCCTTGGTAAAATACGAGTGAAGAAAGACAATACTTGAGCTGGATTTTATCAACATCGTGCAGCACCTTATAGGCAGTTTATCACCATCCAATGATGTGTTTAAAGGTTTTCTGTATCACAAATTCTAGGCGCTTTAACGTCTTATTTGATAAGGCATCTAGGATAACGTGTGTATTATAATCGTATAATTCCATGAATTGTTACATTGCATTTTAAAACTTGATGCACGGTTTCTATCCCTTGACTTAATTTTATTCTTTCTGAAACTTATTTCTATGTTAGTTTATTAGTTGAAATTATACATATCTTAGTTGAAGGGAGCTTCTGATTGGTGTGATTTTTCTGTAACTGAGTTAGCTTTGAAGTCTGATCAATTATTTCCTATGACAACTAATTAAGGGGATAATATTAGTGTAATTATCACATGCTCAACCAATTAAAGAGATCATTGCAATTATAAACCCTTGTGTGATCCCTATTATTTTTAAAATACATTTTTCTCTTTCTTCTTTTCACCTCTACATTCTTTAATAAAATAATATTTCATGTAAATCCAAGCTTTTTTTTCAACTACGCATTCTCCATCAAATAATATTGCACGCGAATCCAAGCCTTTTTTTCAACTATGCACTCCATCAATCTAATAATTTAAAATGCATTCTTAGGAAATAATGTAACTCAAACAGACAGTTGCAGATCTTATCAAACAAGTCACTCATTTATAAAATTGAACACGGGAATTTATTAACTAATCTGAAACTACAATTTATAAATACATCAATGATAACTGAATTTTGCAAAAGAAAAAAAAATATTTTTACATCTAATTTATGTACTAGCAATTCAGATGATTCCCAGTAATGCACTGGCTAGCCGACAACTTGTTAGATTTGAAATAGCCCAAAAAAGAAAAGAAAAAGAATCATGAAAAATAAACAATTTCAATAATTTAATATGATCCATAGTTGAAGCTTCAGCAAATGAAAAAAATAAGTGAAGCAACTTATCAAGTCTTCCTCCAAGTAACATTGAAAATGCTAGTTACCATTGCATATCAGCTTCAGTCAGAGTTGCAACTAGGACAGCAATCAAATGAAAGAATCGCCATTGTATCACCGTACTAGCCTTTCTGTAATCTCTGCACTACTTGAATAAATGGCAATGTGAAGAAAATTATCAGTCATCTTATAGTTCCCTAGATTTGATACTATAATATTTGATGGAGCGATTTATTATACATGTTCTGATTAAATTACTACAGGTCATGATCCGAACTAGAACTATCCATCCGCCTATCTAAAATAGCTAGAAACAACCATTGACGAGGATCAATGGGAGGATTCTGGCGAAGATCAGTAGAAGTCACCGCAAACTCTTCTTTCCGAGGTGTCCTATTTGGTTTTATCGGTGCATTTTTCACTTCTCGACATACCTTGTCTAAAATCATCAGAAAATCATAAACAATAACAAATAATCGTAACCCCTCATTTTTTCCTGCATTTCCATGGAAATAATCCGCTGGGCTCTTCACTAGAGCCATCATTCTTTTCTCTTCCTCAAGTAACCATGCAACATCAACCTCAGCATTCTGCACAAAACTTTTCATAGTCTGGCAGAACCCATTTTCTTTTGCTATATTCTTCATTTCGAAATTTAGAAAACCCCAGGCTTCAATGATTGACTGAGCAAGCTTGGCAACCATTCCTACTAAGCCGTTAGCATCTAACATTGCAGCTCCTTACATTTCAAGCTCACCAGCCAGACCTGATACAATCTGCAGGCCAATGCTTCTATAATGCTCGTCTGTGTCTTGACAAGAATCCTCAAGTTAATCATCAGATTTGATGCTGGATGTTATCTCGCTCTGTTTGGTTGCCCGGGCTGCTCGTACACCTTCTGAATGGATTATCTCATGAACAACAAAGTGCAAGAGTATCATTTTTCCATCTGTTCCCTTTACATCTGATAATTTCAGAAGCATGTGAAGTTTAAATGCTTGTGCACCGCCACGGAATGTTCCATGCGATTTCCAGTTTTAAGAACGGCCTCAAGGAGTTTGAGGAACAACCTGCTTTTCTGGAGTTCTGTGCGAGCAGCCTACTATATTTTTTGAGATGGAGTTAATATATTATTTAGAAGTCATAGATTAATGGAACTAAAGATCAAGGCAATCAGTGTCCAATCTTAGTATCGTTGTCATATTTTTAGTTCTTGACTTGTTTATGAGAATATACAAGCGCATCATCTGTTATCTCATGAACAACAAAGTGCAAGAGTGTCATTTTTCCATCTGTTCCCTTTACATCTGATAATTTCAGAAGCATTTCAAGTTTAAATGCTTGTACACCACCACAGAATGTTCCATCATTTATGCGATTTCCAATTCTAAAAACAGCCTCAAGGAGTTTGAGGAACAACCTGCTTTTCCGGAGTTCTGTGCGAGCAGCCTGCAATATTAATTAAGATGGAGTAAATATATTATTTAGAGGTCGTAGATTAATGGAACTAAAGATAAAGGCAATCAGTGTCCAATCTTAGTATTGTTACAATTGTTGTCCAACATTCAAGAAAAATGAAATGGGATGAATAAATGTGAAGAAAACCAGAAAAAGGGTATTAGAGGCCAAACCTTTTGCCATGCGACTGCATAGGCAAAAAGGCTATGCAGTCGCATGGCCTATTGCAGGGAATTTAGAGGCCTCTTTGGGTTGTTCTATGCAACCGCATAGATTAATACTATGCAGTCGCATAGTTATATGAAATTGACCATTGGAGGTTGGTTTTTAACCGTTGCAACTCCAAATTGTGGTGGGTTTTCAACCTATTTGGCCCCAATTCATGCACATTGGTGTTGGCCTATATATAGGTAATGCATCTAAGGTAAAAAATACAAGTGAAAAATATTTGTAATCCATATTAATTCCAAAATCAAAGATCAAATTCTTGATTCACATTTTATGCTCAAACCTTCCTTGTGTTCTTATAGTTTTGGAGGACTACAATTGTGCTTTAGTGTTAAATTCTTTACAAGACTTGATATAATCCTACAAATCATTTGCCAAAATCCTTAAGCATCTCAATCAATCTCTAGAGGAGGCAAATATAGTTTGAGGACAACGATTACGCGTTCGAGCCTTCGATCTTGTTCTTTATAATTTTCTGGTTTCAATCTTCTTGTTGTTGCATTCTTGCGATATTACTCTTGTCTCTACTCCATTTACTCTCCATATTTCCCAACAATCTCTAACTATATTTATTCTGCAATGGAGAACGAGACAACCATGACAACCATTAAACTTATGAATCAAGATTTGGTTGGATTGGATCTTTTTGATAGGACGAATTTCACACGGTTGGAAGACAAGTTGAAATTCCTATAACGGCGTTAAAGATCTTCAACATTTTTTATCCAGTTTTGGCGCCTTTGTCGGAACCAACAAATGGAGAAATCGAAGCGATCAAGGCGGGGAGACAAAAGCGTCAAGAAGATGAGTTAATTTGTTGTGGTCATATTTTGAATGCTTTGTCGGATAGAATGTATGATCTATATACCAATACTTCTTCAGCGAAAGAAATCTCGAACGCGTTGGAAAGTAAATACAAAATGGAAGAGGAAGGTACCAAGAAGTTTTTGATTTCTAAATACTTCGACTTTAAATTTCTTGATAATATTCCCTTACTTTCCCAAATACATGGATTGCAAGTTATTGTCAACAAACTAAAGGGGTGAAGATTGAAATTCCGGAGACTTTTCAAGTGGGGGCTATAATTCCTAAACTCCAAGGGACTTGGAAAGGATATCGGAAGAAAATAATGTATAGTTCCAAAGTTTATTCTTTGGACCAATTGCAAAAAATCTTCGGATTGAGGAGGAATCTAGATTGCGTGATAAGAATGAAAACTCATTGGAAGGAACTTCTATGGTAAATGTTGTTGAAAGAACTGAACCGCCTATAAAGTCCAATAAGATAAAGCCTTCGAAGAACCTTAACAAGTCCAAGAAGAAGACTAAAATAGAGTGTTTTGTGTGAGGAAAATCTGGATCCTACGCAAAGGATTGTAGACATTGGAAAAGAAACAATTTCGAAGGTGAAATAAATTCCATCCAAGAGGATAAAATTGTCGCCACCGTAAGTGAAATGAATGTGATCAAGGGAAAGGTTCCCGTGTGGTGGTATGATACTTGTGCTACTAGACACATATCATATGACAAATCACTATTCAAAACATATCATGAGGTAGATGGAGACCAAGAGATTCAAATGGGTAACGAGGTTCGATCTAAGGTTATTGGAAAAGGAAATATTGATATCATCTTCACTTCCAAGAAAATATTTACTCTTAAAAATGTACTACATATTTTGGATATGAATAGGAACTTACTGGAAATCTCTTACAAAAATTGGGAATTAAAAGTGTATTTGAATTAGGTAAACTTATATTGTCCCTTAAAGGGAAACTTGTTGAAAAAGGCTATTCTTGTGAAGGAATGGTCAAACTTTTTACGGTTGACAATGAAATAAATAAAAATGATTTTGCTTATGCTGTTGACTTATTTTCATTATGACATGTTAGATTAGAACATATTGATAAAAGTATTATGAAATGCATAAAAAAATGTAATTTGATTTCATATAATGAAAATAAAGAATATGAATGCAAGACGTGTGTAGAATAAAAAATGACTAAAATACCGTATCAAGGTGTTAAGAGAACTTCTAGTACTTAGAATTAATCCATACCGATATATGTAACTAAATGGCATGCTAACTAAAGGTGGAAATAGGTATTTTATTACCTTTATTGGTGACTTCTCTAGATACACGTATATTTATTTGATGAAACATAAACATAAGGCTTTTGACATATTTAAGGTATATAAAAGCGAAGCTGAAAATCATTTAGGAAAGAAAATAAAGACCTTAAGAAGTGATAGAGGTGGTGAATACTTTTCTAGCGATTTTAACTTGTTTTGCAAACAAAATGACATAATTCACCAATGTTCTACACCTAGGACACCCGAACAAAATGGTTTGGTTGAAAGAAAAAATAGAACCTTAGTAGAAATAATTAATGCCATGCTTATATATGCTAACTTGCCGTTTAATTTATGGAGTGGAGATTTATTAAGTGCATGTAGGATACTTAATAGGATTCCTTCTAAACACACAAAGTTTTCTCCTTATGAATTGTGAAAAGGAAGAAAATCGAACATTGGATACTTCAAAATATGGGGTCTCTTGCTTATTGCAAGAACATGAACCCTAATAGGACCAAATTGGGTCCAAGAGGCATTAAACATGCCTTCGTTGGATATGCTAACAATAGCAAGTCTTATAGATTGCTAAACTTGGGGACCAATGTGATTATCGAATCAGGTGATGTAGAGTTCTTTATCTTCGGATAATAAATTAAGAGAAAATCTTGAAAATATCTCTAACTCAAGTGGAACACGTGATGAAATGTCTTCTAAATATGTTAATGAGTCTAGTGAACCTTGAAAAAGCAAAAGAACTCGAGTTGAGAATTCTTTGGGACTGGGTGAAATTGATTCTCAACTTATCTCCTTTTACTTAGTAGAGGAAAATGAGTTGAATGTTGCAAGAACGATTCCTTTTATTCTATAAGTGGAAAACTGGCCCTAAAATATATAAAGAAGATATGACTTCTCGTGATAGCATCTTCTGGAAAGATGCAATTAAAGATGAAATGGATTCGATACTGTCTAATAGAATTTGGAAATTTGTCCATTTACCATCCGGATCCAAACCTATTGGATGTAAAAATGGATATTTAAGAGAAAATATAATGTTGATGACTCTCTAAATAGCTTCAAGGCTAGAATGTAGCCAAAGGTTATCGACAAAATGAAGGAATTGACTATTTTGATACCTATACACTGGTAGCAAGAATAACATCTATTAGGATATTATTCGCGTTAGCTTCAATACATGACTTGCATATTCATCAAATGGATGTCAAGATGACATTTTTAAATGAGGATCTCGATGAGGAGGTCTATATGGAACAACCTAAAGGGTTTGCTCTACCTGGAAATGAACATAACGTATGCAAGTTGGTGAAATCGTTATATGGCTTGAAGTAGGCACCTAAAAAATGGCAT